ACACGCACCCACCCACCTATCCGTGTCCTTCTCGGTCCACCAGTTGGTCATATTGCCGGAGTGGTCGAATTGCCTGCCCTGGTCATCGAACCCGTGAGTGCATTCGTGGCCTATGACTGCGCCAATGGCGCCGTAGTTGGCACAGATGTCTCTGTTGGGCTGAAAGGCTGCCCCTTGCAGGATAGCTGCGGGAAAGACTGAGGGAGAGATAGGGTCCGAAGGTGAATGAGAAGATATAGTATAGGTGAATAGGTAGATAAAGCATAGGGATATATTGTATGTGAATAGGTAGATAGCTGCAGGGAAGACTGAGGGAGAGATAGGGAACGACGGTGAATGAGGAGATGTATTATAGGTGAATAGGTGGATATAGCATAGGGATATATTATATGTGAATAGATAGATATAGCATAGGGATATTAAATGTGAATAGGTAGATATGGCATTGGGATATATTATATGTGAATAGGTAGATATAGCATTGGGATATATTATATGTGAATAGGTAGATATAGCATAGGGATATATTATATGTGAATAGGTAGATATAGCATAGGGATATATTATATGTGAATAGTTAGATAGCTGCGGGGAAGACTGGGGGAGAGAGATAGGGAACGAAGGTGAATGACGACCTCTGGTGGGAAGGGAAAATATACTATAGGTGAATAGGTAGATATAGCATAGGGATATATTATATGTGATTAGGTAGACATAGCATAGGCATATAGCATAGGCAAACAGGTAGATATGTCATATGCGAATAGCCAGACATATCATATGCAAATAGGTGGATATGCAGCCCTGACTGTATATGTGTTCTCGTAGTCTGTTACGGTACTAATGGCAGCCGTAGGTAGGCGTGTACTAATGGCAGCCGTAGGTAGGCGTGTACAAATGGCAGTTGTAGGTGGGCGTGTACTAATGGCAGCCGTAGGTGGGCGTGTACTAATGGCAGCCGTAGGTAGGCGTGTATGCATATCTCTGTTGGACGGGTAGGCTGCACCTTGCAGGATAGCCGCGGAAATGACTGGGATGGAGATGGAATGAAGTAGAATGCACATGTGGTACGATATAAGGTGTGTTATCTGCACACTATATTGGGTTGTCTATTGTCCTTGTGACAGAAGGTGTGTTATATGCACCCTATGCTGGGTTGTTTATTGTCATATGTACACTATGCTGGGTTGTCTATTGTCCTTGTGACAGAAGGTGTGTTATACGCACACTATGTTGGGTTGTCTATTGTCCTTGTGACAGAAGGTGTGTTATACGCACGCTATGTTGGGTTGTCTATTGTCCTTGTGACAGGTGGTGTGTTATATGCACACTAAGCTGGGTTGTCTATTGTCTTTGTGACAGAAGGTGTGTTATCTATTGTCTTTGTGACAGAAGGTGTGTTATCTGCACACTATGTTGGGTTGTCTATTGTCCTTGTGACAGAAGGTGTGTTATATGCACACTATGTTGGGTTGTCTATTCCTTATGACAGAAGGTGTGTTATTTGCACACTATGTTGGGGTGTCTATTGTCCTTGTGACAGAAGGTGTGTTATATGCACACTATGTTGGGTTGTCTATTGCCCTTATGACAGAAGGTGTGCTATACGCACACTATGTTGGGTTGTCTATTGTTCTTGTGACAGGTGGTGTGTTATATGCACACTATGCTGGGTTGTCTATTGTCTTTGTGACAGAAGGTGTGTTATCTGCACACTATGCTGGGTTGTCTATTGTCTTTGTGACAGAAGGTGTGTTATCTGCACACTATGTTGGGTTGCCCATTATCCTTGTGACAGAAGGTGTGTTATCTGCACACTATGTTGGGTTGTCTATTTGTCTTTGTGGGCGTAAACGTAGCCAGTCACAGCAACCAATGGCACAGGTTTCACTTGGCGTGTATGTCTCTAACAAGCTGGAGAGCATTCGGTTATGGTATAACTGCTATATGACTACAACGACCGTATAGACACGGATAGGTATACAGATACGTATACTACATGGGTAGGTATATATATACGTATACTACACGGGTGTATATGTACGTCGTTCTGTTAGGGCAGATATAGAAATAAGTATACTACACGTGTCTATCTATATGTATGCACACCCGAAGATCCGCCATCGTATCATGCGCACACCGTAGTTGACCCCACGCTCGCCCCTCTCCTCTACGCAATACACACACACACACACGCACACGCACATACACGCGCGCACACACACACGCACACGCACACGCACACACCCCTACACACCCACCCACACACAGCCCGTCCTGTATCCCGCTCCCGCTTATACTTCTCCGCGCCTTACCAATCTCATTGCGGAGGGGGTGGTAGTACGCATTAACCTCCTGTGGCGCCATGCCCCACTTCTCCTGGTCGGTGGGCTTGTTCGCCTCTCTGTAGGTACGAACGTGCTCAAACTCATTGACCTTGCAGATGATATCGAAGTAGCTGTCGGTCTCCGCCGGAGTGAAGTGCGTGTAGTCGATGAATTGGTCTGGGTAGCCGATTTTGACGCGGAAACTGGACAGCTTCTTAAGGGCCTGTGGGGGTATAGTGTGTGATGTGAATAAAGATATATATACAT